AGTTGAGGGGAGGGGGGGGGCGCCGGTGGTAGGTTGGACCGTTGGGGGGTCGTGGTGCTTGTGGGTTTTTATTTTGGGGTTCTGGGAGCCAGGGGCATCATTAAAGGCCGACGGGTGGGGCGAGCCCTGTTTTTTTCGGAAAAACGTATGTATGGGGATTGTAGGGAGAACAAGAATAAGCAAATTCATATATAGACAGAAAATGATTAGATAATAATAATAATAATAATAAAATCATAATAAAAAGTTTAAAAACAGAAAAAATAATAAATGATAACAACATCCCATGCAATGCCAATACACAAAGAAGCTAGTCATCACAAGAGCTCAACCGCCTTTTCCTTGTGAGTATGTCATTTCCCTGCATAACCGAGGTGAGCATTTAGGCATTCCAGTGGACTTATTACAGTGCTAGACCGTGGGTTTGGGCTGGCTCCGAGGTGTAGCTGTGGGAGTCGACCCATCAACAGTTGCTAGAGGGGGGGCCCTCAGTGTGTGTGTTTGTATTATGATCTCACAACGCTTCCACCACGTAACTCCACTATACAATCAGTGGTACACCAGGTCCAGCCACCGCTCATCACACACCATTTATACAGCCACTCAGTCCATGCTACCCAATAAGCCAAGATGACATGTGATAACTTGTCATTTCTACTTATTTTAACATTACAGCATTGTCATTCAGATAAAAAGCAGGGGCGGGGAGAAACAACATATTTCGAATCAGAGGAAGACTCACAAGACCATTTACAGGCTGGATTCAGATTGCGAGCGGTCCGATAGAAAGAAGGTGCCGAACCAAAAAAGGAAGCAGGTCATTCATTGTTATGGGGGGGTCCAATGGTAATTAAGAGTAATTTGTAAGGGAGCAAAGGGCGATGGAGGACGAGTAAACCAACTAGTTTTTCGAAGGGGGATGTGTAATCCCACGGAGAGGTATGTCCGCGCGACTTTGGAGAGCGCCTGGGTTACCGCTGCGTGCTTTTGCTGATCAGAGAGACTTGTTTGAAAGGAATTAAGCGAGTTCGCCAGAGAAGCTGTGTGTCATGTATTAACATACATCTTTGGATTGCCATTCATTCATGCTAAGATGGTAAGGGGGTCAACAAGTTACGGGGATTCGATAATATTGACAGAGGAAGTTCCATCATGAGGAATTTAGACCAGGATACGGCTGTAGGCATTGGGGGGTGGTCAGGTACCAAAAAGTGGTTAATGTCGAGAGGAAACACTGTGGTTAGTGAGCAGCACTCCATTCCAGCTCATTTCGCAGGGAGGCTAACTAATCTCACATAGAGGTACTATAACCTATTATGTTAAGTTACTGTTGCATGTCGTTGCGAGAATGAATGAGTATAGGAGTATATGTTCAGAGGGAAACTCATTACATTCATCGGGGCGACTAAATATTGCACTCGGGAAATAAAACCTAGATAGCTCTATGCTCAGAATGTACTGCAAGGAGGGGGAAGTGGTAGGTAGAAGAGAATTATCATAGTATTTAAGGAAATCATAATATGCAAGAAGTTAATCCGTATGGGAGTACAACCATGCAATCCTGCAGGGCGGTACGATTACCCTTACAAGCGAGAGAATAAGAGGGATGAGATAAATACTCAAATCCAAAGATTCGTACGAGGCAAAAAACTTTTAACACAATACAATGACAAATTGGTGTGAACCAAATTCTATACGTCAACAAATTACGGAAACAGCTATAGAGACCAGCACTCCAGGTCACCCCCGAGAGCTAAAGCCAATCAGTCTCGAAATTCAAACACATCCTCCACTTCCCTCCACCGAAATCCCCTATGGAGTTATCAGCTACAATCAGGCCTGCATCACAGGTCATTCCTCCGCTTCGAGTGGGTCGAGATCAAGCTCAACAAGGCCAGCGGTGAACTTGGCTAGGTAGAACGTCTGGGAGAAGATACATGGCAGCTCGGCATCATTTGTGGAAGTAGTCGTAACAGCAGGAGGGGCGTGCCATCCCCTAAAAGCTTTTTCGCCGTTGCCAGTTTTCCGGCTCATCAGAGGGGTCCATTCCTGCAAAACTTACACATCCATCACACAACAGCACAGGCAGCCATAGCCCACATCCACACAGAGAGAGGTAGGAGAAGGGGACCATATACCACCTCTTCCGCCATGATTTCCTCCTCGGATTCCGGCGTGATGGGCAAGTCCTCGTCCGCCCCTGTGGTGAAATCCCAGTCCGCCATAGCCAGGTAGTTCAATCGTATTGCCAAGATCGTTTACAGCAGTCCAGCAAAGAGCAAGCTCACAAGCAGAAAGTAATTCAATCGTATCGAGGAGGGGGGTAGCCGCCTGTATAAGTATTGCTTGTGATGGCTCGGAGGTGGTGTATCAGGAGGGACAAGGGCATAGGGAAATTTTTCCGATTTTGCGCGGGGCGCGCTCAAGTAATCGCCCGCCCGATGTTATCCGAGCATTTCCGGCCTACTGACACGTCCTATGTGTCGATTGACAGGTTCCTACCTGGGATATTTTACCGATTCCCGGTCCTGGTCCATCATGCGGGTTGGTGGGGGCATACTAAGTGCCCGAGATAGTTGACAAGGAGTTCCTCGTTTCAACGAGTCTGCGCTATTGGCTAGGGCTTCGATTCGGTAACACTCCTGGGTGGGTTTAGAGGGCCAGCCATCATTTTTTCTTTTTTTTGAAAACAGGACTATCCTTCAGGAGGTGGTCAGGGATGCAATTTATTTTACCAGTTTGTGCCTTCCTGCAGAGTCGCTCTGGGTCCTCCTTCCCTGTGTCCGAATCCCCACTTTATCTTGTAAGTGCCTACAACCTGAAAATGTGTGTGTGTGTGTGTGTGTGTGTGCGCGCGCACACACACACACACACACACACACACACAAAAGAAGAAGTAGAGATGGAGGATAAAAAGAAGAAGCATGGGGGCCTCTCTCTCTCTCTCTCTCTCTCTCTCTCTCTCTCTCTCTCTCTCTCTCTCTCTCTCTCTCCACRCACACACACACACATAGACAACTTTGACATGAGAAAAGGTGAAGTCACGATGCAATACTCAAGTTTGAGACAAGTATGTGAGTGATGGTGAGTCCCGAAACAAAGATAAAGGGTAAGAGAGAAAAAGGAACTGGAAAAGAAGGAGACGAAAAAGAGAAGCACAAGACTACTGTGAATTTCAACCGCCCCTCATCTGACCTCCATATTATCATATCTCCTCCTTCTTGCTCGTTGCTTATCAATAACAAAAGACAACATGAATGAATCAAGAATCATTACTTGCTATATCTCCCTTGCAAATGAACTCCGCTTAGCTCTTCACTAGCAGTCTAGCACTACTTGATCTACTGTAATATCATCGCCTCTCGTTTCTTTATTTTTCTATGTCATCATACCAGAATCATCCCCTCTTGAGCAGGATGAATAGAAGACAACACAACAGAACACCGCCCCATCCTGCCTCCATAGATTCCATACTACCCCGCCACACTCTAACTGTGAATTATCTTTCTTGTAGAGACTGAAAACGTGCGCTTTTAATGAAGTTCCATGCTGAGAATAAAAGATGATGATCCACGGTAGGCTCGGCAGCCAACCAAAAGTTTTTTTAGCTGTTTGCCTCCTTGTTCTTGCTTTTCCTGGTCAATCCAAGCCAGATCCTTTTCCTTAGACGTCCTCTACATGCCCAATGTGGGCCTTGGCACCCATCATCTTCATTGCCAAACCCTTCTTGTTCGGCCTCCATCTCCTCTTCAATGCCCATGGAGGTCATCTTCCTTATGTCAAGCAAGTCTCCCTCTTGACTCCACGGCTCCTCTTCACTGACAGGAAAATCAACACTTGTACCCGCTCGGCGCTCACTATTCTTCCTTGGAACGAACGCACCTAGCGCTACGAGTGGCTTGGCGAAAGAGTCAGATTCCTCGAACTAAGAACAGTGGTGTTTATTGCATCTTTACGCCGTTTACGATTCGGCTGCAGTGCGTGTGAGACAGCTCAGCGCTTGTCTGTCCGTGAATCTTGATAAGGTGACTTTTACATCAAGTAGTGCTCCTTTTGCAAGACTCGTGGTGGTCATGGCTTTGCACAAAACATGCACAATGATCTGTCTGGGACAATTTGTTGAAGGACTTTCTCTTGTTGATTACAAGGTTGAGAACTTGAGAGCATCCTTCAATGTCGGTCGGAGGAACTTTAAGGACAGTTCCGTTTAAGTAAGTAGTGCGAAGATCGAATCAGTCACACCCCACCACAAATCTTGAACTTTGATTCAACGTGCGCACATACATACTATGTGCGGGGAGAACTTTCAATCCATTCTATTTCAGTACAACCAGGAGGGTCCATCCACACTGTTGGGTACAGTGGTAAATCGCATGGAAGATCAACAAATGCAGCAGGATATTCTGAACGGCGATTGAGGTAGTGCTTAAGGTTGTTGGCAAAAGTAAGCGATCGCTTAGTCATGTCCTGTATCATGATCATGATTTCTCCGCATTGGGTGAACCTATTCAACCTAGATGACTTAAGAAACTCGAGTGACAATTTTCATGGTGTGTGTACTTCAACTGTCAGGTTTCCATTCATTAACCAGCAATCTTTCTCTGGTGGCGCTCCAAAACTGTCTGTTCTAGCTGAGGAAATAACGTCACTGGCAAAACCATCACCTGATGTCTCACTCCGGATCCTCCATATATGGAAGCCAGTTGAAAGTGGTAGCCGCACTACTGCAGTTTTCAATTTTTTTTGAACTATGCTCTCCACTCGGTGTGGTAGCTTCTTCAAAATCACTTTGGGATCTGAAAACCACAAAGATGGAATCACAACGTCCGTATAAGCACTATAAATTTCGCCTTCTCTTGTCTTCAAAGGCGCAAATGACACCCTAGGAATAAGGGAGCGCCACGGTATTGTGAACAAAGATTTGGTTGACAATCCTCTTTTTTACAAGATGGACTGCGCTCTGTAAACTCCAATCAACGCTTCTGGTCGTAATATTTGCACAGGCTCCATCGCCTCCTGGAAGAACACCGGCTCAACAGCTGCGAGGTTGATGTGGCATCCAAATATTTCCTGCAGGTCCTCCTTTGACAATGAACCACCTACACGTGGTCCATTGGCGCAGTTCTGGTCATCTCCTGAACAAGTGGGAGTTGTAAAAAATGCCGCAGAGTCCTGTGCCTCTTGAGCAGTGGGATCTTCCCCCGGACATGGGTTCTGCAACTCATGTTGCTCAACAGCGACACTTTCGCCGTCAGACGCAGCAGAGAGAACATCCTGTGCAATCATCGTCTCAGTTACATTCGGATGCAATTGCACATTATCCAGGCAGTACTCTATGCTCTCCTTGCTCCATCCTTGGAATGAGGTTGGATCAAAGTCCAAAACTTTGTTCATTACATTCACTGCAACATCCAACAATTCCTCCGTGTGCCTCGGAATGACCGCATTTAGCAGATCTCCGAATTGACTTGCATGGCTGAGTTCTGGCACCTGGAGTAATATCCGTTGGCATAAGCTATCAACCTGGTATTGCGCTGCCAGGCAGTACACTTCCACCATTTCATCCCAGCAACTGACACTGTGTGCCCGAAATCGTTTCCCGTGCAGGTAGCTGATCACAGACTGAAGACTGGATGCTCTCACCGCAGGGAGAGGTATTGTGTCCATTGCACTCTCCTTCATATCTCCATAGAGTAATCTGAAAAAGTACTCACTCCCAGCTGCCAACAATGCTCGATTTGCCCGCACCTCTCGTCCATCCCGGCAAACAAATGTGACATCCAGCAATTCCGGTCGATTGAGAACCGTCCGGGCAAGCACCCTCGTCCTCCTCCCTCAAAGGCGGAAAGGGAGGACACAGAAGGACGACCCCTTTGTCACTCGTTCCTCTCTTCATAGTGGGCGTACCGCCTGAATGAGACATTTTCTTTGCAATGGATGTTTGCAACGCCGTCCTCCAACACTTCGGATATTGTGGTTGTATCAGAGTAGAGGTAGATGTTGTTCCCCTTGGCGTTCCTCTGAAGGAAGAAGGCGACCTAGAAAGTTACAAATCAGCACAGCAAGAGACAAGCCAAGGGAGAGAAAAAGTTGTTTCCCCATTTCATGTCAAATCCCAACTGACAGTGCGTGAATCTGCAGCAGTGGTTTGTTCCTGAAAAGATCGGGGGGAGGGGAGGGGGGGGAGAGGGGGGCAAACTCCTGGTTAACCAGTTCGCCTAGCCCAGTTGGTACACCCCTTAAATGTTGAAGTACGGACGCGAGATGGGAGGGGGAATGCAAGCAAACAAAGTCTTTGTTGACGAATGTGCAACAAGGAACAAAATGTACAAGAGCCGGCTGCACACTCTTCCACAGTGTAGAGCAACGGCACCAACATAATACACAGAATATTTTTGAAGAAAAGAGTGTTCAACCTGGAACAGACTGATCAAACTGCACCACCACACGGCATAAGTGGACCAGGTTCTGCATTTCGATCCTAGATGTGCAACCTGGAACAGAATGTGCATGCTTTCGTATGTGCAACGGGAAGTCGGGGACAACTTGGAACAGAATACTTCAAAAAGAGTGTCAAACGTGGAACAAACTGATGAGGTTGTACCACACTCCATGACTGGACCAGACTGCACATTCTGTTCCTAGGTGTGCAACCTGGAACAGAAAGTTCCAGAAAAAAAAAGCATGTCCGACCTGAAACAGACCGACGAAGTTGAACATGAACAACTGGAGAAGCGTGCACGTTCCGTTCCAAATGTGCAACATAAACAAAATGTCCCACCGGGGAGAGAAAAACAAAGTAGCTCAGTTGGTACACCAATGAACTGAACAAATTCTGAGGGAAGTTTGGACACAGCTGCAATCAGGTGGACAGTAAAAGGGTTTTGAAGTACCTCGGGTTAGTGCCCTAAGCTTGAAAAAAATAAAGGAATATTGTAATTTGTTTTTTGAAAAAAACTGCGCTGGTGACTGCTGCACAGTTCAGAATTCGCAAAAATAACAGTCCACTGCAAGATTGGGCGAAGAGCAGTTAGAAACTGCAAGAAAAACAGTAAACGGCACGTTCGACGGCCTACCGTTTCGATAATTGGCAAAAACTGGAGGTGGCCTAGGCTAGTGGTACCGTGTGCCCTGGCCTGGCCCTCCCGTTTTTGGTTTCAGGCGGGCCTCAGTTCGGGCGGGTATCGGTGGACTGCGTGTTCGTTCAGGGGCCGTGCTCCCACCACGCCACCCACCTTGCAGTCTGCAGCAACGCCATTGGTGGTTGACGTCCCCACTCTCTCTCTCTCTCTCTCTCTCTCTCTCTCTGTCTCTCTCTCTCTCTCTCTCTCTCTCACACACACACACACACACACACACACACNTCTCTCTCTCTCTCTCTCTCTCTCTCACACACACACACACACACACACACACACACACACACACACACACAAACACACTGTTACATGCAGCGCGTGCACACATGGGCCATTTTGCAGGTCCGACAACGTTCAGGCCAAAAACCTGAACTTCAGGCCAAAAGCTCGAATTTCAGGCCGAAAGCCTGAAATCCAGGGCTTACAGGCCCCCTGTCGGTTCAGGCCAAAAGCCTGAAGTCCAGGGTCTATCCCTGGTCATTTCAGACTAAAAATGGCAACAGCCTTTTTAGCCTGAAACAAAGGGCCATTTTCGGTCGTTCATCAGAACGACTGGCCCTGAAACTCTGGCACCGAACCACGCCAGCCTCAAGCAGGCTGCTGCACGCCAACCCCTGACACACTTCGGCATTGGCAAGAGCTGCCTCCTCGGCCTGACTGGCCTCCACCAGTCAGGAGGCAGGCCGAGGTAGTACATAGGACTTCCCAGACACTTCCGAGGTAGGCAGTTCGGCAGTTGTAGTCTTCAGGATTCGGGTGGGAGCGCTGCGTTGTAGTAGTGGTAGCATTAGCTAGTAGTCTTCAGCACGGGGTGCAGTAGGTAGCTGTAGTCTCTAGCGCTGGGCGCCATAGCTAGGTAGTACTAGAGAGAGAAAGGAGAGAGATACACAGCTTGGGCGGAGGCCAGAGGTACCTACCTGCAGCGCTGTTGCTCCAGCTTTGTCTTCGAGGTACCTGCAGCACAGCGCCAACACCACAAGTTAGTATCTGGTTCGTAACAAGGAGAGAGAGAGAGAGAGAGAGTTCTTCTTCTTCTTTTTCCCAGTCCACCATCTCTTCTCTCCCTCTCAATTCCGACTTCACTGCATCAGCAGACTATGAAAGAAGAGATACAAAGCTTGGTGACATTTGATCCAGACTCGCATCTTCTTCCCTCCTTTCGTCTGATCCTTATCTCTTCGTCTGTGTATGTCTGGACCTGGCGCTTTCTTCCTATGTGCAGCGCCAGGCTCCTTCATACTTTGTGATGGGTACAATGCATGTTTAGTCTGAGTTCCAACATTGATTGGGCTAGTTAGAGGTACTCTAGCATTCTGCTTCGTTACTCTGAACTACGTGAATGAGGTCAGTCCTGTCAGGTCAGTCTTTGTATCAAAGTCTTCCCTGCGCTCTTCAGCTTCTTTATGTATGAATGCGAATGTATATTGCTTGTCGAGGTTCTATTCGTACTGCATTCTCTATCCAGTCCTTTTCATCACATTGCAGATTATCGGTTTATTACGTACATTGCATATCTGTGCATGTAACAGTTGGTATCCGAGCTTTTCAACATGAATCATGACGATCTGATCTGACACGTGTGCGGGGATCAAAAAAGCTAGTTAGTCTTGTTCTGTTGATTAGGACATACTAGTTAGACCCCAAAATCACGATCTTAACCTTACTAAAAAAAAAAAAATCGAAATTTTTTTTCTTTTCTCAGATTTTATTTTCTCGCTATTCTGCTGTGGAAAATCGTTTTACCGCAACATCTGAAATTCCTATTTTCGTTTTTCTTTTTGAAAATCCGAAATTTCGCTGTTGAAAATCGAGAATATTGTTCTTTTCGAAAATTTCCATTTCCCATGCATTTCGCGTACTTAGAACTTCGGAATATGTTCGTTTCTGAAATTCATTTTTCTGAAAACGGTACGGGAAATCCCTCCTGCACGTATTATTTAAAAAAAAAAAAAAAAAACTGCGAATATTCCCATCGGAATAAATCCGAATACTTGTCATTTCTGTTCGGACTTTTTCGCAGTTCTTGGATTCTTTCAGTTGGTTCTATAAATCGGTTGCAGTCTAAAGTCGAATTTTTTTTTTGCTTTTAGTAATCATTTCGAACTTCAAGGAGGTTGGGAGACCTACCGAACTTGCAAAAATCGGGATTTTTTTTTTCTCGATTTTTTTTTTTGCAAAGTGCAAACTTTTCTATTTTGATTAGTGGCTCCTTATCTAAGTGTGAGTTGGGCGATTATCCCACCCACCCCTCCCCACCTACGTTGTTGCCATCTCTCGCCTTGCCGTTTCTGGTCGTCTTCGGGTTCCCCTTGTGACGGCATTGGTAAGTTGCCACGTCAGCAGACCACGTCAGCAGGACACGTCAGCAGGCTACGTAAGTACGTCAGCAGACCATGTCAGCAGGCTACGTCAGCAGGACACGTCAGCAGGACACGTCAGCATTGCCACGTCAGCAGCAAGGGATACCACATCAGCAGGCACCGGTCTGGTCTATGCTGTTGCGTTCACAGACAGCAGTTATGGACCAGAAGGCTGGGGAAACAGACGAGGCCTATCAGGCCCGCATGTTAGCCAGGAGTACCGAGACAAAGAAGCGGGCAGATGATGCTGCCGCAGTAGCAAAGAAAAGGGCAGAGGATGCCGAGCAGGCACGTTTGCTGGCGATTGAACAACAGCGCCAGCATGACGAGGTAGCAGCAAGGGCTGCCGATGAAGAAAGAACACAGCGTCGTGAGAAGATATTCACCGGAGAGCGAGCGTTACTTACCATGGCAGCAGAATGGAGAAGCGAGGCCGAGAATAGCCAGTTGGAGGACAGCACAAACAAGATAGCGCTCCTCCTCTCGCATCTCACGGATCTCCTGGCAACCTGCATTACACAGCAGGCGGAGATCCTTAGTCTCGACAACTTGGTAGCTCATCTCCAAGACCGCCTTCAGCGGCTGGAGCAGCGACCAGTCGCCACCGCCGATGCAGGCTCTTCCAATACTGCAGACCGCCTCACCGCATTGGAGATGCACGTCGGCTCCCTCCAGGACGACGCACAGTTACATCAGACCGCGACGCAACAGTTGCAGTAGCGGATGTGCACTACCGCCACCACCTCGAGTCCGGAGTTGCGCGAGACAGCTCCTAAGTTTGATGGGCAGGAGATCTTCTGCGACTCAATGAAGACAGATCCGATTCCATGGTTCCGCAAGTTTGAGCTCACGCTGCAGCTCCACAACGTCAAGGAAAACAAGCACCACGCTTACTTGTACTCTCGCTCAGGGGGCGCGCGTCAGGCTTGGTTGGACAACCTGTTGTCCAAGTACGGAGTGGTAGCAGCGGACTTTCACACCAAGATCAGTTGGGATGATCTGAAGGCGGCGTGGCACAAGCGGTTCCAGGTGGATCCGCCAAAGATCAAAGCCATGGACAAGCTCATGGTCTTCGAGCAAGGCACGCTGTCGAGTACGGACTGGATCGCCGAGTACCAACGCTTGACGGCAGTCCCAGACATCCAGATGGGCTTCAAGACCATCCGCCACTACTTCATCTCATTGTCATGTCCGGCATTGAGCAATGCCCTGACGCATGTCAAGGACACCTTTACGATGACGACGGAATTGTTCGACAAGGG